TGCTCAGAGAGGTCCTGGGACAGGAACCCTGGACATTTCCCATGTGGGTCCAGGTGCATTACCATTGTGCCACTGCCTGGCCCAAAAGACTAGCATTTCTTACATTGGAATTTGTACCTCTTAGATGGTCCATGCACATAGTCTTGTTTTTTTTTGTCTGAGGATTTCCTCTGAAATTTGTCTTATTTTGTGCTTTGATTTTAATGATCATTTTTAACAAACAGTACCTAATTTTATAGGGGCTCCCCTTAATAAGAGTCTTACGACAAGATTTCATTGTCCAAGTTTCCCTTTCTAAGGAAGAGCTCCATTTCAGTGGTGTTGTGAATTGTTTAGGAATGAAAGATCAGACTTAACAATGTGAATGATACAGACAAGTGAAGGCCAACTAATGTGGCATCCTGTTTTAGAATGGAGGAGGGTTCCCCGGGTTCTTCTGGAGGAAAGCAGTGGGCAGGTTGATATTGGCTCATGGCCTGGGATGACATGAGCATATTGACTTTAGCACACAGTACTATATTTAAGTTTTGAAAGTCAGTTTAAACTCAGCAATGTAATGTCACCTATCATGCTAAATTAATGTTGTTAATTTGAATTTTACATGTTTTATTATTTTTGCATTTAATTTGTTACTTGGTTTTGATTTTATTGTTGAATCAGAGCTAAAGCATATGGAGTTTATTTCTAGTTTTCCATTTACGCATTGCTAAGAAACAATAAAATAAAAATAATTTAAGTCTAAATATTGGTGGTGCACATTAATGTGGGTTTTTTTCCCCCCTATTAATGGGATGTTTGCATTACTCAGAGTTGAGGAGTAGTGAAATAGACTTATAGAATCACAGACTATTTCAGCTGTTAGGACTCACTTAGCCTCCCTGATCAGATGTGGATACTGAGCCTTCAAAGAAGTGAATGCACAAGGTCAAAAAACAACTGCACATGGGGGGCCTGATGGCGGTATGATGGTAAGTGAGATGCTCAGTGAGGAAGACTCACTTGAGAAGGTTTCCAGTTTAGTCCTGGAGACCTCCCTTACTATATTGGACATGTGTTTGCCCATGACCCATTGCTGTTTGAGACTGGGAGTGGATTGTGGTGCCAAGAACCTATTGAGGGTGTTGTCTCTTTCACTCTGTATCTTTTGCTATGGAAGAAATACATAAATAAACTTAAAAGTTAAGGGTGGTAGATGAGTTCAGTGACCAGGTTGACCTACTTCCAACTCAATTCTTGGTCCACCATGTCTATCTACCTCCAAAGGTAAACCATGGCAGATAAATGGCGACTGCAGTCACCATTCAGACCACAAAGACTTTCTAGACACAAAGAAAGGAGAATTGCTGTGTTGTTTGAGTAAGAAGGAGGTGAAGTAGCTGAGACATTGGGAAAAACAGATTGACTTTAGAGCTGTAAGTCATAATAAGCAAGGGGCCATAGTGAGAAGAAACTGCAGCTATTTATTTTCTGTGCTCAGGTGTTATTATTATTACCCATGAACTTGGACTATTGCATTACTTTTTTATTTTTGTTTTTTGGAGAGGTTTTTGCTATAGGGCACGTGCGTTCGCCAGACAGAGAGAGACATAGAGACAGAAAGCGAGAAATCACCCCCCAGGGGGGATGGTCACGCTGCAATCCCTTCTCCTCCATTCTCCTCTCGGGATCTTGGGCACACACACACACGCACCTGGCGTGAGTTCTAAGCCACCGGGTCCAGGACGCGAACCGTGGTCGACTACGTGGGAGTCCAGCAACATAGCCATTACGCTAACTGCTGGTTCCCTGCATTACTTTTAATATAAGCAAACAAAATCCTGAAACTCCTTAGATCTAAGCCCACTTGCACTTTTCTGCTCTGTATAAATCTAGATTATAAGTTCACTTCGGCTAATTGAGATTGTATACTGTCTTGGTCTGCTGCTATCACAAAATTCATGGACCAGGTGACTTATAAACAACAGAAATTTATTTTTGACATCTCTGAAGACTAAAAAGTCCAAAATCTAGGTGTCGGCAGATTCAGTGACTTCTGTGGGCCCACTACTCGTTCATACATGCTTGATCTTCTCGTGTTCTCATGTGGCAGAAGGGGAAAGGAAACTCTCTGCACTGTTATAATCCATTTTATTGTTGCTATAACTGAATTCCATAGACTGGTTCATTTATAAAGAATAAAGGTTTATTCAGTTCATGATTCTGGAGGCCCAAGGTGAAGGGGGCTCATTTGATGAAGGCTTTCTTGATGATGAAGACTCTACTGAGTTCCAAGGTGGTGCAGGGTATCACATGGTGAGAAGGTAATGGCATGTGTAAGCTTTGGTGTCTTTCCTTCTTCTTTTAAAGCTACCAGTATTCAATTATGGGGGCCCTAACCTGACAACCTTATTTAACCCTAATGCTCTCCTAAAGGCCCACCTTTCAGTATCATAGTCAAATTAAGTTTCCATCCTCTTTTTTTTTTTTTCCTTTTAACAGAGATTTTTGCTATAGGGCGTATGTGTTAGTTGGAGAGACAGAGAGAGACAGAAAGTGAGAAATCATACTCGGGGGGATGGCCATGCTGTAGTCCCTTCTTCTTCAGTCCCCTCTCAGAATTTTGGGCACACACGCACATATGCCCAGTGTGAGTTTTAAGCCACTGGGTCTAGGACTCAAACCACTGTCTTCTATATGGGAGTCCAGCAGCATAACCACTATGCCACCTGCTGGTCCCAAGTTTTTATCCTCTTAATATCATCACCATAGCAATAAAATTTCAACACATGAATTTTTTGAGAGAAGCATTCAAACCATAATTGGCACTAATCTCATTCATGAAGACACTACTGTCATAATTTAATCACTGTCTAAAGATCTCACTTTCTAATACTGTTCCATTGGAGGTCAGGATCTCAATACATGAATTTTAGGAGGACATGAACATTAAGTTCATTGCAAGTATCACTGTGAAAGGAAGACTATAGGAAAACAAGATTTCTCAGCTGTATGTAAGAATTTTGATCTTACTTGTGCAGTGAAAGATTTCATCTGTGAAATGGTTCACTGGTTGTTGCATTCATTTTCAGTTGCTGCATAAAAAATTACTACACATTTAGCAGCTTAACACAATATACATTTATAACACCCTGCAGTCTCCTTGGGTCAGAATTCTGACTACAGATGAACTGAGTCATTTATTCAGGGTCTCACAATGCTGCAGTCAAGGCATTAGGCAGACTGTGCTGTCTTATCTGACACTGGATTATCTTCCAAGCTCACATGGTTGTTGACAGAATTCATTTCTTTGCAGCAGTAAAACTCATGGAGGTCTGAGCTGCAAGGACAGTGGGAAGGGTTTTTTCTTTAGACCCTTTTTTAAAGGACTTGCCTGATTAGATCAGACCCACCTTGATAATTAATTGATTTTTTTTTTTCTTTTCAAGATTTTTGCCATAGAGCATGTACACTCACAGGACAAAGATAGTAAGAGACAGCAAGAGGGAAAGTGAGAAATCATCTCCCTCCCCCATGGGGGATGGCCATGCCGCAGTCTCTTTTCCATTCTCATCCTGGGATCTTGGGCATGCATGCACATGTACCTAGCATGACCTTCAAGCCACCAGGTCTGGGACATGAACCACAGTTGGCCATCTGAGAATCCAGTGCCCCAACCACTATGCCACCTGCTGGTCCCATTAAGTCAACTCTTTTGGGATTTGAATTAAATCCTCTCATCTTCACCATACTCTATTCATTAGAGGTCAGTTACAGATTCTGTCCACACTCAGAGAGGAGATTCCACAAGGACATGGATGCCATGGGGCATCTGGGAATTGTGCCCATAACAGCATTAGGCACCTCTCTCCCTGTGCAATGAAGTGTGTTTTATATTTATAGACATCCATGTGGCATTCGGATACTATTCAGCAATATTAACATACATGATTATATTAAAGGTTGGAAGAGTAGAAACTCAGCTCTGAGCTGAGGTAGAATGATTAAGAGTCTATTATTAGGGCAGCAGATGACATAGCAATTATGTCACTGGACTCCCACATGGCCACGTGTGGTTTAAGTCCTAGATCCGGTGGCTTGAAAATCACGTCAGGCATGTGTGCATCCATGCTCAAGATCCCGGGAGGATCCCCTCAGGGGGATGGCCATTCCTCTCACTGTCCCTGTCTCTCTCTCTCTCTCTGGCACCCATATGCACCCTAAGACAAAAACCTCTTTTAAAAAACGATTCTCTTATTATTTAGCTTTACTAGAATCATTTAATCATTTGGTGTCAGAGTTTGCCAGCCTTGACACTATTGACATTTGGGCTGGATAGTATTTTTACAGGCATCTGTCTTGTGCATCCCAAGATGTTTAGCAACATCCTTCTCTTCTACCCACCAGTGCTATGCTAGTAGCATCCCCCACCTCAGATGTAACCCCCCAAAATACATATTGCCCAATGTCTCTTTGGATGAAAAAATTGTCTCCTCTTAATCGAGAAATATTGCATTAGAAAAATAAAATGTTTTGTGTTTTTTAAAAAGGACTTATTAAAACAGGGAGTTGGGGTTTTAAGGTGATGCAGTTATGTGGAGCCAACCATCCTCTGATTATGGTTCATTCTTAGGTTTGCTTATTTCCTCTACTGAGAAATGCATAGTTTTCAATTGCAAATAAAAAATGAATGTGGAAGATGTGTTCCCCACATGTGCTTTCTTGTTCACATGCATGCCAAGATGAGATTGCATTATCATAGTTGACTATGTTTTATAATCTTGTCTGAGTTTATAGTCAAGCCATATTATAAGAGAACTTTAGCTCTACTATGCATGGGTCAGGTATTTTCCCAAAGATATTTAATACATAAGGCAACAAAACTTAATGAGCTCCATTCTTGGTACTGTATAGCTCCTTTCCTGGAAACAAGTTATACAGGCTGGTGTACGGGTCTAGGTGGAAGGCACGGTCCAGTTTTGAAATTACAAAACTCAAAAGCTGCTCATTGCTGTTTTCTTTAGGCAAAGGCAGCTCAAGCATCTCATCCGATGTGAGTTCAAGTACAGATCACACACCGACCAAAGCCCAGAAGAATGTGGCTACCAGTGAAGGTAGGCATCTGGTCTTCATTACCTCTCGCTTTCTCCTCCCAGGGCTGACTATTTTGGGAAGCCGAAAAAAAAAAAAAAAAAAAAAAAAAGGGG